CCTGTGCAAAGGGGGCTGCGAGGCCATTGTGGACACAGGAACCTCACTCATCACTGGCCCCACCAAGGAAGTGAAGGAGCTGCAGACAGCCATTGGTGCAAAACCACTCATCAAAGGCCAGGTGAGGTCAAGCTGGGAAAGTGGGAGTCCATGGTCATTATGTCATCCACACTGCTTTGCACCCAGATCCTTCTACAGACCCTGGTCTTCTACTCCCTCTGCTTGCCACTCCCAGCCTGTGCTCGTACAAAAGCCCCTGGCATAGCAGGAGCCCCTCTGTCTTTTGAGCCCATGTAGTGTTCACTTTCCTGCCCATGCTGTCAGAGTGCCAGGTTCCATGAACTTTAGAAGGCTTTAGGTCACCTCTGCCACCCATCCCTGGCAGGCAGGGGACAATGGGTGTAAGTTGCAGCTGAGGCCAAGGATTTCTGTTAATGTGAGTCCAAAGGCACTTTATTTAATGCAGGTGACAACCCTTCCCTGACAAGTTTTTAACCATCACAGCTAATCTCACAAGGTCATCTCTCCTTGGAACAGGGATTCAGGGAGCCTCTAGGACAGATTCTATTCTCCAAAACCCTTCCCAGATCACAGAGCCATGAGCGCTTGTAGGTCTTTTCTGCAGTGTTGCTTCATGCTTCAGCAAGGTAGACCTGCCACCTCTGCAAGATTTGCCAGTGTTAATTAAACTGGCTTTGTCTGTTTATCACACCCTGTCTATGTCTCTAGGCTATATTGAGCTGTGTCTCTGCCTTCTGTGGCAAGACCCCCAGCCTTGCCGCATCAGATGCTAAGCCCTGGTGCTCAGCAGAGCCAAAAGCTGAACCTTTGGCTCCATCTCTGTCCCTAAAACCTTCTGACCCCTCAGCTTGCAGCCCTGGTCAGGGAGCAGCCTGTGTACCCCAGCTCAGGCCTATTCTGCATGATGAGCTGGTTTGGGGGAAAACTACAGCAAAGATGTGATTGTGTCTGAGGAAGACCTTTCCTGGGGTTGTGGAAGCTGCCATCTAAAGCCTTTACTGTTACTATTTCAGTATGTGATTCCCTGTGATAAAGTGTCATCTCTGCCTGTCATCACACTAACGCTAGGAGGGAAGCCCTACCAGCTCACTGGAGAGCAGTATGTCTTCAAGGTATGTCCAGGCAGCTTTTTCCAGCCCGGTGCTTCTCCCCTGAGGCTTAACTTTTGCCCCCTCCACTCAGCTGTCAACCATGAAATCCAAAACACAAGAGCAGCAACTTGTGGAAAAAGTCTGAAATACTGGGGTGGTGTCACTGCTGGTGGAGGCAGGCAACCTCACCAAAGTCCTGCAGGAATGAGATCCCTGCGTGATGCTCATGAGGGATGGGAGCATGGGAGAGGAAGGGTGGGCAAACTGTTGCATCACTTTCTATAAATATTCTGCCCTTTCTTGTTGGATTCTGGTGCCATGAGGCTTATCACAGCAGAGGCCACCAGCCTGGCATTTAAGCCATCGGAATCAACTTGTGCAGAATTTCAGTGATGGCTCTAATTCAGCGCTGCATGGGCTGGGAGGTTTATGGGCACATGCAGGTTTACCTGATGCTTTGCTGCAGTAAGCACTGTGGGAGGGGGAGCTGGGTTTGGAGCCAAGAGAACAGTGGTTTGGGAGTTACTTTCACAACAAGTAGCAGATCTCAAGCTGGTAGAGGCTGAAGCACAGCCAGCGTTGTCAGGTGTTACTGCTAAGCCTGCGAGGGCGAGGGCAATGGAGGAACAAGGGAGATTGAAGCTTTCACCCTTCTGTTTAGGTTTCTGTACAAGGAGAGACCATCTGCCTGAGCGGCTTTTCAGGCCTGGACGTCCCACCCCCTGGGGGCCCACTCTGGATCCTGGGAGATGTCTTCATTGGTCCCTACTACACTGTATTTGACCGTGATAATGACTCTGTTGGCTTTGCCAAATGTGCCTAAATGCCTGACCCACCTCCCACTGCCTCTGCCACACACACACTTCCACACATGCACAGGAGCCATGGAGAAAGATTACTGGGATTAGAAATCCAGGGAGTGGAAAGAAAGAAAGAAAAAAAAAAAAAAAAAAGAAATGGAACTAGATTTAAAATTACATGGAAAATAGTCATTAGTGTCCTGCTGGCTACGTTTTCCCCTCTGTTGAGTAAGTGGTGCTGGGTGGTCTCTAGTTGACGACTCCAGCTGGAGTAGCCCCTTGCTTTACTGCTAGGTCTTCCAGTACCTGTTTTTAAGACTGATTCTCAGAGCTGAACAAGGCCCGCTCGTGTCTCCCAGCCCTGGTCTCCTTCCGGGGGGGCAGCTGGCTGGAGCCAGCCCCTGACACCTCTGTTCCTGCAGAGAGGCTGTGCAGCTGCTCTTGGGTTTGGGTTTCTGAGCTGGGGGAGAGGGCCAGGGCAGGCTGCCTGGCAAGTGATTTACTACTTTGTGCTTTACCACTGTTGAAGTGGGGGGTGGATGGCTTCATCACCCCTCCATGACAGGTTCAGGCAGTGACAGCAAGGTCATTTCTCAATGGGTTTGTACTGGCTTGGTCCTAAAAGAACGTGTCCTGGGCTGGAGCAATGGCGGATTGTGGTACCATGCCCAAGGGCTCTGGTTGCATGCTTTTGTGTAGTGATGACACTAGTGAGAGAGCTGGAGACGTGAGGTCCCCATGCCTGACCTTGCAGGACAGGAATTTGAAGGGGGCTCCAGCCAGTGGGAATCTTTAGGGAGTACACATATAAAGGGGGTCAAGATAGGATCTAATAGAGGTCACTCGAATTCATGGCCACAAAGGCCTGGCTTTCTGCTGAGCAAAGTCACTTGACAAGGGTTCTCTCTAGTTTGGTGAACTTCTGCCAGCTTCCGCAAACCGCAGATCTCCCCAGCCTCATCTGCAGCCAGCGAACTGAGAATAATGTTTCCTAAAGCAGCTGAGTGATCTACAAGCCTGAATCACAGGGATAAAATCTGTAGGTGTTTGTCAGCCACGTAGGACCTTTTGGAAACATTATTCTCAGCATTTTGAACTGCCCAAAACTAGACAGTTGGCAGAGCCAGCAAGCGTCCTGTGCAGGAGGGTGCTGTGGCAGCTGCTGGGCTCGCATTCACTGTTCCTGCTGCCCCATTATGAAATCCAACTGCCTTTAACCTGTTTTCCACCTTGCTAGCGCTGGTGAGAGCCCTGTTCATATCCACCCTGTGTTGCACATGGAGTGAGGCACAGTCCTGCTTCAGAGAGGTTGTAGCTGATTTGGCTTTCCTAGTGTGTTGGATAAGGTCCTGAAGTTAGGGAGTGGAAGCAGGTGAGGGGTAAAGCTGAGAGTGGCAAGGGGTCCAGATCAGCCATGGCTGTGACCCCAGAGTAGGCAAAAGAGACAGTAAAATCCTGGCTTCCCAGAATTCACTGATAATCCTGTCAGCAGTACCAGTGGGGTCAAGGAAGTTCCCGAGAAAGGTCTTTGGCAGTGGGTGAATAGGTTATGCCTGGTGAAATGGATGTACATCATCCCCAATATTGAATTCTCCACGAGCATCAGAGGCACAGGTGGGGAAGAGGTCCTGTGGTGCGTATGCACTGTGGTTGAACAGTGTGTATGTAGCTTATGGATCCCCTGGCCCCACACATTGCAGCTTGGCTTTATAACCGTGCCACACACCTTGGAGAGGTCTGGAGTGAGCAGTGCGGTCAGGCCTGGGCACACCTGGGACACATGCATTGTCCCCTGCAACCTTGGATGTGACAAACGCTGCTCCCAAACCTTGCTTCTGTTGGCTTGTAATCTTCGCCTGCATCTGGGTGCCGAAGGACATCTGTTGCAGACTGGCTAGAGAACAGTGGCATGTTATCAAAAAAAGAAATCATCAATGGTACTCAAAAATCAGCCAATATTCAGCACCCTTCCAGAGAGCCCCAGCTCCACACCAATTAGGGTGCCCAGAGCTCCTCCAAGCTCTGCTGCATCATTTCCCAGCTGCAGGATTTCTTCAGCACGGCAAGACAAGAGATAGCCTCTTGGGTACTCGCTAATCAAGACCTAATGTGGGGCGGGGAAGTCTGACATGGAGCTGGCAGTGGCTTTTGAATGTCTTCAGCATCACATCCAAGCAGGACGTGCAGCACAGCCCCAGAACAAGCCATTGGGCTGCAGTTCTGGTGCACTGCAATGCCTTATGTTGTCTGAGTCACAGCCTCCACAGTAACCCAAGGCTGAGCTGATGTCTGTTGTAGGGCAGGCAGGAGGCTGCTGTCTGGAGAATGAGCACAGCCCAAAGTGATGCCCTGAGTGACATACCTTCGGATAGGCTGGAGGAGCAGTTCATTGTAGTCTTTCCTGAATGGGCCTCCTCCCCTTGTTCTTTTATTTGCATTTTTAAACCAAACTCTAACCACATGACTGTATTTTTTTAACCTAATTTGCTGTCAGAATTACTGTCTCATCATAGAAAATTGAAAAGAAAATACAGTATTACCCCCCTTACCTCTGCCAGTGGTCTTTTCTTAAGCAGCTTGGGATGCCAAACTCCTCCTCAGTGGCCAGAGACTTCTCTCCTCAAACTGATGTTCCAGTATGTCTAGTCACCCACTCATATAGACTTGGATGTATTTCAGAAGGGCATCCTTCCCCTCTCTCTGGTAAGGAATTGTGCTGGGAGCCTGTTGGGTTTGTCTTTTTCAATGTATTAAAACATATCCCAGCCTCTGCAGGGTGACATCGCAGTGTCACCAGCCTGACGCAGCGCTACTGATACATCAGGCACTCCCAGCATCTGTCCTAGCCTACAGCCTTCTCCTGGGGCCACATCTCCTGGCTGAGTAGTGCGAAGGCTACTCCTCCAGCAGGGGCTCCTCTGGGCCAGACAAAACTAGCTCCTACTCGACTTAGGCTATAAAATGGTCCTCCAACAGCCAAAGTAAGACTCCAGTTTCTAAGTCCAGCCTCAAACCAACTAGGATTTGGATGGAGTTCATGATCCCTGAGCCTGCTGATGAGGAACATGGGGTTTGGGAGGTTTTTTATTTATTTATTTTTTTAATGTAAGAAAAATCCATCCCTTTTGCCTTGCTGTGTGATTTTTTTTTTAGCCCTAGTGCTGCTGTACGGGAGCTGGAGACTCCAGTGCAGAATGAAGGCCCCATGTGCCAGGTATAAGATAAGAGCTAATCCCTTCTTTGAAAAAAGCATCATCTGCATAAGCAAGGCAGATGCAGGCGAGTCTCATCCAGTCTTCTGAGCCTAGATCTAAGCACACAGAGAGCTTAACTGATTTCCCCACTGGCGTGTCCCAAGCTTCTGCTCCCCCAGGATGCCTTAATACCCCAATCAGCTGTTCTCCAAGGTTAAAGAAATTACTTAACCCAAAAGGGCTGGCTGGGTCCTGGAAACCAATCATGCAGCCCACTGTTCCTCAATAGCCCAAGGGGAGAACAAGTCATCCACTGCCAAATATTTATCTACCAGAATATGAGAGTGTTGTTTCTGCTGGGGGGAATGTGGGGGGATTGTGCTTAAGCCTTTAATCATGCCATGAGTACTGAACATTACGTCTCAGCTAGAACAGCCACAGGCTTGGTCTTGGCCAAGAGCTGGAGAAGCCAAGAGCCAGGATTGTCCATCCATGCTTTTCCAACAGGGAGCAAGGCACAACCCGCCCCATGAGCAGCCTGCACACAGCCCCACATTATCTTACCCAGCAGAAACTCAGGTTGACACCATGTATTGCACCATCTCTGCAGAACCCCATGCACGAGACAGTTCAGTAAGTCACTCTGCTGAATGTCTCCACTAATGCAAAGAAGATAAGCATTTTCATGACATGTCCCCTTGAATAGTAGGGCACCTGGCCCTGACCCCCAGGTCTGTCTTCATGGGCCGGATCCTTCTCCAACCAGCTCTGCTTTGCCAAAAGCCCATCCAGACAAGGACCTGCCAGGGAGAGGGAGAATTAGACCCCTCTCTTACGGAGATGACTTGCTCATTTGGTTGCCTCAGCGGTACGTTCATTTGGAAAACTATTTTTGCTCACCATGAATGACTAAGCACATTGGTTTGGGTGCTGGTGGCTTTTTCCTTTTTCCGCTCTTTCTTGAATTTATTTATTTTTAGGTTCCTTTGGGAAGGAAAAGAAGTGGAGCGCAGACTGGAAGCTTAGAGGACAGGAGACGGAGATCAAGGGAGAGTGGGGAGATGGGTTTTTCTCCTGCAAGCCTCAGGCTACCTTACTGCTTACAGGGCTTAGCAACCCACTGAGGAATTTTATAGGAGGGATAGGAAGGAGCATTCAGGAGGCTGTGGGCTTTCTCCTTCAGAAAAACACAGGGTCAAGTCCTAGCAATTGTTTCCCAGAGAGCTGGAGAAGGCTTTCATATGGAAGACTTTCTCACGGGTCTTACAGCACTTGGTTATGATACAGCCCACATGTCTCTAACAAGATTACAAGAGAGTTGCTTTGGGGCAGGAAACATCCTTCTGTTCTATTTGTCTCATGCTTAGCACAAAGGGATGTGGGCCTTGACACCACAGTAATACAGATGACTATTCATAGTCACTTCAGCTTTTATTTGAAAGGAAAGTGGTCTAGGCTTCTGGTTGAGGGCTTGCATGCATGACCTTGAAGGACTGCCAGAAAACTGGAGGAGTGTTAATACAGAATATTGAGGGGGTTTATTCATTAAGCCATTTTTTTAAAGCCTGTTGCCTGATTTTGAAGAGTCATATGAATGGTTTTAGAACTGGTGGTGCTGTATATATGCTATTGTGATACACAGTAATAAATCTCTCATCACTCACACTTCACATCAAGAAAGATGATGAATTACCAAACCAAAGATCCAAAAGTGCTCTGCAAACTATAGGGCTGACCTGGTACCTGGAGAAGAGGAAAAGCAGCCATCCAACCTCCCTGAACTTTGTCTGCTGCACAGCAGGGAACGTGTCCACCTCTGTTGATCTGACATTCCCCTACCCCACCCTGCTGCCTCCTCTTGCCTCCTCCAGAAGCCCTCTTTGACCTTTTGCTCTGCTCATCCTCCATCCCTGCCTGATGTTAGGAAGAGGAGCAGCCCTACCTACACAACTTTCCCCAGGCAAATGAACAGCGGGCTCATCAGTAGCTCCTATGATAGGCACCAATCTGCATCCAAGGAGTTCCGTTGCTCCTCCTGAACCAGCTCTGCACAGCTGCGAGTTGCCTGGGATTGTCCAAGCCCTTCAGAAAAGCTGATGGAAGCTGGCTGCAGTTCTGCCTCTCCTGCAAACCTCTTAATCCCACAGGAGCATCATTCTCACCCCAGCACTGCTTCTGCTTCTTAGCAGCATCTTGGAGAGAAACCTGGGTCTCATCACAGGCAGCTGTGGCACTAATAAAACACTCTTTACTTTGGCAGCACCCAGCAGCACTTCAGCAGTGATAAATCCTGAACCAGATGCAATTTGTCCTTTTCTAACCAGCACAGGTTGGTTAAAGGACAGCGGGATTAAACCGGCCTTGTAGAGACTGGACCTTCTCCAGTCTGGGAATGCTGTGGACGTGCAAGACGTCCCCTCGCAGCACACTGACCCACGGGGATGAACACAGGGTGTGTGCACCTACACGGGAGCCAAACCGGCCTGTGAACAGCAGAATAAATTACCATCTTTATTCCTTAGGTCAGCACTTTGTAGGTAGGCTTAAGGCAATGCTGGAGGATTTCCCTTCCCCTGCAGGTACTGCTTGCACAAACTTCTGTTTGACCCAGCCTGTTTCTAGTGCTCTGGGACTCCCCTGCTCCCCTTCCCCAGAGCCACAGCCAAACCGGCTGCTGCCTCAAGGCCACCTGAGCTGGGCCGGGCTCTGCCACGTGCCTGACACAGTGTGTCCTCACATCCTCACCCTCCCAGTGCTACGGCTGCATCCTCCTGAATGACCTGCAAGCTGTCGCTGCACGGCACCAGCTGCTCTCCAGCATCACATCCCATGGGGGATGCTACCACAATACCCCAGAACTGGGTTTCCATGCAGCTCCCAGAGTAGCCTGCACAGGGAGGCAGCAAGCACTTCCCTGATCCTGTGCCAAGCCCAGGCATGGCCAAATCCTCCTGCGCTTGTCCATCCTTCATGACATCCCCACCTCCTTCCCCTAAAGCAGCCGCATGCCCTGCATCCTGCTGCCAGGGTGCTCCTGCCCCTGCCCACGCTGGGATTTGTTCAGTGCCGACAGGATTTATCCCCTTTCCATTCATCCCCCACGACCGCTGTGCTGCTGTCACCTCCCCTTGTCACGCAGTCCCAATCGTCCCCACACACCCCTGCCACTCTTCCTATAGGTTTCCACCCGGGCCCATGGGAACAAACACGCAGCGAGTCCCCACTGCAAAGGTCTCTGTGGGTGACGCAGGGGACAGTCGGGCAGAGCATCCCCTCCACAGGACCAGGGAAGACGCTCGGCCGGGGCCCAGAAGATGCCCTTCTCCAGTAAGGCATTACGAGGATGCTTCAAGCAGGAGGTGACGTCCCCGTGGGGCTGAGACACGGAGGAGCTCTCCTGCGCAGAGCATGTTCGGGGGAGGGAAGAGAGGAAAGGGGCTGCAGGCTGATCTTCCCATTCCCTATCACCCCCCCCTGCCCACCGCTAGTCCATGGGTGCCCTCCCTCCCCCATCCTTCCGCAACTCCAGCGCCGAGGAAGCCGAGCCGGAGGCAGTGCTGAGCCGGATATGCAGCGACTCCCCGCATCCCTCCTTGTGAGTATCCCTCGCTCCTCCTGATGCCTTCGGGGAAGACGGATGGACGGACGGACGAGCATCCAGAGGTGGACTAGTCTTCCCTATTTTCAAAGCTGGGGGGTGGGGGGGGTGGGGGGGCGGGGACGCCGACATCTTCCCACATCCCCTTCCCCATCCTCTGTCTTCATCCCCTCTTACCCCTCCTTCTCCTCCTCTCCGGGCACGATATTCTCCCCTTCAGAAATAAGGGGAGGGGGTGGTGGGCAAGACACCTGCTGGCAGGTGGAAGGACCCGGGGAATGCAGTCCCACCTGGAATCCCGCAGGGACTCTGCCGAAAGAAAACAACCAAAAAGGGTGGGAAATCCCTCAAAAAAAAATCTCCCCCCAGGAGGGAGGGAAGGAGGGAGAGCGAGGGGCCGGGCTGCTCTGCCGCACCGGGAGACCCGCTCCCGTCCCGACACGGGACAGAAAGCCGGAGGCCCCGGCAGACAGACCGACCGACCGACAGACAGGCGGGCACGGAGGGCTTGCTGGGGGTGCAGCCCGGTTTCAGCCGGCAACTCCCGCGGTGCCCCCCCGGCTCTTCCCAAGTGTTTCCTTCTCCTTGTATTTCTTTCCGTTATGTTGTTTCTATCTATCTCCCCACTCGTGGCTCGGCCGCGGGTCACGCAGGACAGCGGGCAGCGCAGGGGGGAGGCCGCGGAGAGGCGGAGGGATGCTGTCCGCCGCTGCCCGCTCCTCAGCCCCCGCCGCGGGGCCGGCGGCAGCTCCGCTCCGAGGCGGCGGCTCCGTGGTCCCCGGACGCAGCGGTACTCCTTCCGCCCCTCCGCTGCCCTCCTCTCCCCACTCCCTCGCTCCTCTCCCCGCTCTCTCCTCTGTCTCCCGGCCCCGCTCTCTCCTGCCTTCCCCCTACGTCTCTTCTTTTCCACTTCTTACCCCCTCTTTCTCTCCCCCCTCACCCCCCCGCGCCTCTCCATCCCCTCACCCCCATTTTTTTACGGGGGGTTTGCTTTGCCAGGGCAGAGCGCGGTGACGCCGCGGCAGCCACCACGGAGAGGACACAGGATCCCCCCTTGGGCCCGCCGTGCCCCTTCGAGGGGGTGGCCTGGACCCCTCGCTCCCCCCAGGGCCCCCCGCAGGGCTGCTTCGCCTGCATCGCCAAGCCCCCGGCTCTCCGGCAAGCTTCGCCGGTCCTGTCTCCTTCTTCTGCCGTTTATCTCATGGAGAGCAAGAGCTGCAAAGGGGACAGCCTGCGACCGGCGGTCCCGTGCAAGCACTCGGTGGAGAAGAAGACGATGACCAACCCCACCACTGTCATTGAGATCTACCCTGACACCACCGAGGTGAACGACTACTATCTCTGGTCCATCTTCAACTTTGTATACCTCAATTTCTGCTGCCTCGGCTTTATCGCCCTGGCCTATTCACTGAAAGTAAGTACTGAGCATGCAGCACAGGGTAATGGGTAGCTGGAGAGAGGGGGAGTGTTTGGGGGTCACGCCTGATGTAAATCACATTTTTGCCACACAAATGAGAGGTCCTATTCACTGGGGATGGGGATGGGGAGAGCAGAGGTGTGTTTTGGAGATAGGGATGCTGCTTCGAGTGGGGAAGATGTGCTTTGACTTGCTCAGATACCCTTGGAGTTTCCTGTACTGCAATAGCAGGATGATGGGCTGGCTTGGCTCATGCTGCTCCCGCAGGTATCCCAGAACTCAGTCCCTTCCTTGGGATCCTGTCAGTTAGAGATCATCAGGGTAGGACCCAGCAGCATCAGATGGTTGGGCAGAAGCAGTAAGAAGCAGAGGGCAGCAATCAGCTGGTGCCTGGCAAGTTGCAGCAAGGGAGAAGCTGCCAGGGTGCAGGGCAACCCTGCCTGTTCAATTCTTGCCCTCTTCCTAACTAAAACACCAGCTGGTGGCTAGCTCCTCTCCTCCCACCACTTCCAACGCCTATAAATCCCAAGGCAAGCCCTGGAGACCTGCCAGCATCATCAGAACAAGCCCCAGGTTGCCAAGGAGGTGGAAGAGGGCGCAGGGGGGCTTCACACAGCGTCATATCTAGAGGGAAATAGAGCTATGTTGATGGCGGTGGCATGGAGCACAGCCCATGATGGGGATAGGAGCAGGTTACTCCGGGTAGCTGCAGGGGAGAGCAGCCCGGCAGGGATGGCACCCAGCAAACAGGCAGCCCCTCAGTGGCTGATGGAGAGAGGGGCCAGGGCTGCCCTCCCCTTCCTGGCCTGACAGAAGCAAAACTAACTGAATGGATGTACAGAGAGCCCGGGGCGGTTGGGTGGCCCCGACAGGAGCGAGCTGATTTGTTTTGGCAGGCAGCATTTAGATGAAGGCCAGGGCGCAGACGGGCTTCATCACAGAAGATCAATTAACCCCATCCAGCTCCCACAAGCTGGACCGCGAGTGCCCAGTGCTGCAAGGAGGCTGCTCCTGAGCCCATCACGGTTTCTGGTAGAAAGGCTCAGGGACAAGTCTGCAGACCCATGCGCTAGGCAAACCCAGCACTGGCACTTTGGTGCCTGCCTCAGTTTCCCCCTCCCCAAGATGGGAGGTGAGCACACACTCACCACCCATGTAGCAGGCTTCACTGGACCTTGCTGCCTGGGCAAGTCCCTTAACAGTTTAAGTCATGCTGGGATTGAGCATCACCACAAACAGGACTGACCCAAGGGCAAATCCAGGCAGCGACAGACTAACACAAGTGGAGGGAGAGTCCCTTAACACCCCCCACTCTTTATGGAAGAAACTGGCTTCCTCCATATTTTTCATGTCTTTGCTCATCTGAATTTGCCTTTGAGATACAGTCAGTATCTTTCCTGTGCGAGAGGCATGGTTGCAGCAGGCTAAGAAACAGTGTCATGTCACCAGGACATGGCTGTAGCTACAGCAGATATCTATCTTGGTAGATGTGGTCCCTTCATTGCAGCTAGCAGGGGGACAGGACAGCCTGAGGACCAAACTGACCCAATACCCAGGGGACAGGATGGAGTAGGGCCTACCACCTACAAAGCTTTTACAGGCTGGACCCTTCACTGTCCTTGACACGAGGTGGAAGGAGGAACAAATCCCAGAAGTAACCTGGGATCGCCAGGGCAGAGGTGTGAGCTCAGCATCTGGCTGCAAAAGTCTAGAGGATATAAACTCCACTGTGAAAAAGGAAGCAGTGGTGAGGGAAGGCAAATGGTCAGATTTGCTCCAAATCAGAGAAAGGAAAATATAAGATGCCTGTCAAAACCCAGCCTTGGCTTTTGGACTGAAGAGGTGGCAGCTGATTGGATATAATGGTGGTACCCAAACAGATGTAATGCGGAGCAGGTAGAAATAACGCCGCTCTGGTCTTGGAGCTCCCCGGTAGCTGTGACTCTGTGGCAGTGGGGGAAATAGAAACAAAATGTTCCTCAGAGGCACAGGACAGAGGTAGCAAGTGGTTGAAAGGATGGCAGGTGCCTTCATGAGCTGCTGTCAGGATGGGTGGTGGGAAGCAACAGGGATGATGGGGCAGCAGCAGATCTGCCCTGGGGAAGACCACTGGGATGCTGAGAAAGACAGGATCCTCACTCATAGCTACTGCAAAAACCTTCACAACATCCTGGCTAGGCTGGATGTTGGAGTTATTTCTCCAGGAGCCTGTTGTTTTCATCTCTTCTATAGTCAGTGAGGTTTCTCCCAGAACTTCCGAGAAAGCAGAAGCAAGAAACATCCTGGGACAAATGTCCCTTTAAACAGACTTTTCTTGTTCTTCTGTAATTAAACGTAAGGACAATTGAGCAGCAGATACTTAAGTCACAGCCTTCCAAAGATGCCTGTGCTCTGCAGAGACCGAGTAAGGTGCTGTGGGAGGGAGAGGAGGGGAGAAGCCTCTTCCCTTCCCTGAGCCTGTTCTGGGATGTCTGACTGCAGAGTCCTTGACTGGTTTAGCACAGGGCTCCTGGCTGAAGGGCCACCAGTGTGCTGATGGCATCAAACGGTTCCTGGGTTATGGTTTTCACATTTCCTTTAAATAACTGAAATATCTAGCAGCCTCAGGAATCATTTCATTATCAGAGATAGCTTTTTCAATACCCTGCCATAAATGTCATCTGCTTTTGCCAGATTCATGCTGTTAATAAAACAGTAGATCCTTCATCCCCCAAGTCCGTGAGAGGTTTCATTAAGTATCTTAGCACACTGTAGTATCTCCACCAGTTTCAGCAGCATAAAGGCCACACTGGAAGATAGATGTATGCCTAGGTACAATGAATGTTACCATAAAGCTGTCTCATTCCCCATGCACACTTACTGGTTTTAGACCCTTCAGTGCCTCCATGTCTGCCTGGCCTTTTGCACATGAGCTACAGCCTTCTAGATCTCTTCTGCAAGGAAATGCTATTTCATGGTGACCAGTGTTTACTAAAAAATACCAGAAAACCACCCCAGAGTTAAAGAATTTATATGCACTTATTCAAAGAAACACATGAAGTCAGGCAAATGCAGAGACTGTGACACCCAAGCCAGGTACTCTGTGTGACAGACATCCCAGCCAAGTGCTCTGAGTAAGAATGCGATGGCACACTGCATCTCCATTTACACTCGTAGCAAGCCAGATCCTCAGCAAACGCAGCTTGTGGGGCTGCAGCAGAGTCACACCGACTCACATATCCCCCTTGGCTGATTTCTGGCATCTCAGGCTTCTCAAGATCAGCCTGAGCACAGTGTGTTGGTGCTGGTGGAGAAGAGATAAATAGCAGGACCAGGGAAGTTAGAAACCCTAAAGTTACCTTAACCCCAGCCCAGCACAGGTGTGATGATTGCTCCAATGGCAATGCTTTGGATTTGGTTGCTTTTGATAGGAGTAAATGCCGTGGACCTGATCCTTGGCAGCTCTCTGCCTGCCTCTTTCCCAGCTCCAAGCAGTAATGAATGATGCATCAGTGCTTGGTGGCAGGAGATTTCATTTCAGTCGTTAGGAGGTCCAGTTTGGGGAGATCCAAATCCTTTTCAGTATCCATTATGTCAGAGGAGCGAGACATATCTGAGACCAGCAGCGGTATAGATGCCTTGCTGTAAGGCAAGTGTGGAGACAAAGATGTTAAGAAGCACCACTGGCTTTTAAAGCCCCAACAGCAGCCTGCAGGGCTGCTTCCAGTTTTCCTGCCCCTCAAGGCCACAGAAATACGCAGTGTGATAGCACCCCAGGAGACATGAGCTCTCCTGCCTGTTCTCTGCCTGGCCCTTAGCACACAGCTGTGGGCACGGTTGTTTGCCTTCCCCTCTTGCCACTTGTTGATCTTCCTTGTTTCAAGAGGAAGCAGACGGGCACAGATCCATAGCTATTTATTAACTCTGAGAAGCAGGGAAGCTGTGGCACCTGGCCTCTCAGGCAAGCTCTCAGGAGGAGCAATGGCTTATGGAGGTGGGTGAAAAGCAGGGGTGACAGCCCCATGACACGGGCGCAGGCAGGGTGGAGAGCTCTTGACTGATTCACAGAGCAAATAAACCCAAGGATGCCTTCCAGAGCTCCTTATGTTAGGGACACTGAGCTCTGCACAGAAATCAGTTTACAGACAAGCAGCTGTTGGCTGCATGCTAAAATCCAGGCTGCCTTAAATACAGCCTCATTAGGATCGTTATCAACAAACCATTTGTCTCCTCCTGTAAGCTGAGGCAGCACTTTTTATTCACACAAGTTCCCTACTCCTAAAAACGAGAGGGGAGCTGGCTTCTGAGGAAGGAGCAGGCAGTAGGGAGAGCCTGGAGAGAAAACTGAAGGCAAAATCCCAAGGGGAGGAAGGACAGGGGATGGTGGTGAGAGGGAGGAGAGAAAGAACTCTTTGGTATCAGCATGCTGGATGTGTTGGAGGGCAAGGTGAGCTGGAGATGGTGGAGGACAAGGTGAGCAGCAGGGAGATGACAGGCAAGCAGGGATGGAGGAAAGGGCATTGCTGGTGTGGGAAGGAAGAAAGATTTGGACATTAAAGCACAAAAGCAGGCTGTTTCATGGAAGGCCAGGCACAGAAGAGGAAAGGACCTGTAGAAGTTCCCAAGCTGGATCAGAGGTAAGCTCTGCACTGCCCAAGGTGGAATATCCAAAGGGTCCACCACACAAGGCTTTGGGGTGCTTGGGGAAGGCCCGCAGCCAGCAGATGTAATTATCCTTACACCAGATATCTCAGTGCAAAGCAGGGCCAAAAGCCCCCATTTAGTTGTAGGAAAGGTGTGAAGGGTCAAAGTGATGATGGAAAAAGAGTCTGCAACTAAGGAAACACCACACCTGGGTCTGGGTAAGGGGGTGACCTTGGGGACCTGTGGAAGGAAGCAGCTCCGGGGGCTTGCGCAGCAGCTGCCAGCACATTATGGTAATGGTGGCCATGGAAGCATGAATGTAGGAAGAGCTGAGCCTGGGCTATGAGAGAGAGAGTGTCATCTCCTTTAGGTCAAAGCAGGGAAAGAGATTCAAGACTTACCTGCTCTCCAGAAGAGCTCCTCCTCCAGAATCTGGCTCAGGTGCCACAGTGAGACATTAAAGGGAGACGTCTGGAAGCATCTGGGGGTGCAAGGAGAGGCGAGAGGTTGAGAGGATTCACTGGAGAGATGTGGGAGGCCGGGGCTGCAAGTGGTTTGGTAGGAGAAACGCCTTTATGTTGCTCTTGTGTGCTGCAGAGACCCTGGCGCTTATTTGGTGCTTAGAGGCCCCTTTGCAACATAAATGATAATGGACAATAATGAATGATTTGCATGACGGTGACTTCTGAAGCTATATGTGTATGGGGAAATAGCAAGGGAGGAGAGGAAAGGGAGCAAGGAGTTGGTGACCAAGGCCAGAGCAGACAGAAGAGAGCTAGGGAAGGTAAAGGACAGGGGGCTACCAGAGATGGGAGATAGAGTTTCATGTAATGGAGGGCTGGGCAGGGGTAGGTGGAACCAGCTGGTGGGGCAGAGAGAGGAGGCAGCTGGGTGCCCTTTGGTGGGAGTGGAAGGCGGCTGTAGAACCATCATTTGGGCACAAACAGGAGGGAAGAAGAGAGATGGGAAGGACAAAAAAAAAAGGAACTGGGAGGAAAATGGTGGCACTGGGGAGGGGGCAGCCCCAGGCACCCCTCGCTAGGGATGCTTATCAGCAACAGGACTGGAGTAGGGCCAAGGGTAGGTCAGGTGCTAGTGAAGCATGCCATGGGAAAGAGCTACAGCGTCGGTCACGAGTGTGAGACACTGTCAGGTGGAAGAGGCTGCTGGGAGAGGGTAGGGTATGGAAATTAGGGTGGCAGGGTGCCCTGGGGACAGGAGGAGCAGGAGGTGAGGAGTGGGTGAGAGCTCCCTGAGGCCAAGAGGAACTGGCCCCGTAAAGGCAAAGTAAGCAGTTCACTGCAGGAGGAGTTGCAGATCTTGGTGTTCTGGCTATGCTGCTCTGCTGGAGAAACCTGTGTCTGCCTGGCAAACACTTGATGGCAAACACTGGCTTGCTTGCAGCAGAGCAACCTCTTCCAGGTGGCTTACAGTGGAGGAAGGGTCAAAAGGCATTTGCTCTGCATAGTTGCCTCTGGCAGCCACTGAGAAGAGGAAGCACATGAGAGAGCTTTAAAGAGCCTTCTGTGAGAAGCGGCTGGGATTTCTGTCCCAAATCAGTGCCTTTGGGTCTCTGGCTGCAGGGAGCTCTGCACTTCTCAGTGGGTGAGGATGTGCCAGCTGCCTGGCACTCCTGTGCCCTGGGGCGTTTGGGAGGATGCTAAACCAATGAGTAATTTCAAACATGTGTCACCCTGGACACACAGCTGACACAGAAAGGGGTGCAGGCTCCCAGGCTGCCAGCTTGCTGCCTTCCCAGGGGTCATCCCCACTGCTGGCAGCAACAGCCAAGCGTGCCATGGAGCTACATGGATGGCGCTGGCTCTAGCTGTAGGCTCCCAGGAGCGGGATGTAACAGAGGCCAAGGACATGGCACGGCAGGGTTTAATACAAGGAGAAGAACAGAGCTCTCATTCTTGCCTATGTGCCTGCCAGTGACAGCTCCTGCAGGCCTCGTGCCAGATACAGCCTCCGTACCCACAGTCCAGGATCAGTGAAGAGCAGAGGGTGCTTGTGCAGAGGTCCTCACTGGTGTGAGAGGAGAGGACATTGCCTGAGGTCTGAGATCTGGTTTTGGAGGCCCCATGAACCAGCATGGCTCAGTGGAAATGAAGGGGTTCAGCAGCCCTTCCCAATACCTAGCAAGCAGAAGGCTTTCAGGACAGCCCCGTGGGTAAGCACTGCAGGAGGGAGAGAGAAAAAAGTCATTAGGACGTGGTCTGAATCCATCGCAGTCTTTTTGGAAAGCTTCCTGGTCCGTAACAGCCTGTCAGTGTTTCTAGGTAGGACACCGGCACTGGTTCTGGCAGCCTGACACCGACACCTAGTGTTGGGCCGGCAGCTTCTGGTGGCGCTCGCCCTGCCGGCAGCGCAGCAAAGGACGGGGCCCGCCCGCAGCTTTGACCCTCTGGCCACAAAGCAGGCAGCGTAAGAGGAGCTGCGGTGCCGTGCCATGTGGCCCCTGGGTACCCAGCTCGGATACGGGAAAGGGAAGTGGGGTCGAATTTCCCGGTCCCTTTGCCCAAAATCGTTGTGGATCCAGCTGCCTGGGTCTGCTGAGTGCTGGCTGAAGGGGCAATCTGGGGACAAGGACACATATCTGCTAGGAAGAGATGAAGCCTGAGCAACAAGCAGATGAACCGCTGCTGGTGGGCAGTGCCATCAGTTGCCTGGGTGTGCCATCTGCTGCCTGCTCATGCTATTGCTGCCTGCTGATGCCATCACTGCCTGCGAGTGGTATCCACTGCCCAGCTGTGCCCCCATTGTCCAGCTGTGCTATCCACTGCCTCCTAGTGGCATCACTGCCTAGCTGTGCCATCTGCTGCCTCGCAGTGCCACGCACTGCCCAGCTCTGTCATCCGCTGAGTTGCAGTGCCATCCACTGCTGGTAATGCCATTGCTGCCTTCTAGTGGCATCACTGCCTGCTGGTGCCATGGCTGCCTGGAGGAAGTGGGGACAGGTCAGTGACACAGGCATGCACAGTTCTTACCCACTGCAGAGCTGTCCCAAAGCAAGCCCATGAATGTCACAGCCTGCAGGGTAATGAAAAGAGCAGAATGCGCTGTCAGGATTGAAAACTGCCAGTGGCAGAGGCGCTGCACGAGCTGCATCAGACCTGCAAAAGGAACTCATTAACCCAGGACTGCTTAATATGCTGGAGGCTTGTGCGCAGCCCTGGAGTTGCAGTAGGATGCTCTGCCAGCGCTCACCCACTCAGCCCCACAGTGCAGACAGAGGCATGGGGATGCACAGCGGAACTGCAGCCAGCCCTCTTGCTTGTAGCCCAAGTGAGGTGAATTCTGGGGCTGCAGGGCCAGAGGGCTATGACATGGTGGGAAGGATGCTTGAGTGTCCCTGTGCATGGGGTGCATGATGGCATCTCAGTTCCTTTATGCATCTTCAGGCTCAAACGACACTGCCCCACCCCAGAGGCCATAGGGACCTGGTTTGCCTGGTTGGTAACAGCAATGTGTCTTCTCTGCTTCCAGAGATTTCCAGCCCACAGGATTACAATGCTTGGCTTCACAGACTCAACCCATAGCAGGGCTGGAATGCAAACCACACCTTGGGGTGCCTTATGACACCCCAAGCATTCAAATCATAGAATCAGCGAGGTTGGAAAAGAACTTTAAGATCATCAGCTCCAACCTTTACCTCAGGACTGCCAAGCGCGCCACTAAACCATGTTACTAAGGGCCTCATCTACATAATCTACATGGGCTTTGAACACTTCAAAGTGTTTATCCTTGAACGCTTTGAACATTTTGAACACTTCCAAATGAAAAGAGGCCCTGCTCAGCCCTCATCTGCTATACTGGTACCCTACCCTCATCTGCTATACTGGTACCCTACAAGTGAACTGATTTTTTGTGAGTGTTGTTTGAAACACTTTGTCTTTTACATGTTTCCCAATTCTTTTTATTTAATTATTTTTGTTGTGTATCTCAGGTCCGGGACAAGAAACTCCTCAATGACTTAAATGGAGCAGTTGAAGATGCCAAGACAGCCCGTCTTTTTAACATCACCAGCTCAGCCCTTGCCACTTTCTGTATCATCCTTATCTTCATCTTCCTGCGATACCCCCTCACTGATTACTAGAGTGAGGCCAACAGCAGTGGCCGCCGCCAAAATGCCTCTATGCCAGAAGTGTCTGCAGTTGTTTCTTGTAGCAAGGACGCAAAAGAATAAAAACAATAATCCACCTTGATTGCAAAAAAATAAAGAGAAGAGCCAAATAAATACATAAATAAAAGTGAAAAGAGTTTATCAGCCCAGCTGAGCATACCCTTCCTGCCCCCCAAAACAGTACGTGACCTGCTGTAGCAAAGGGTCTCCAACACATGTACAGGGAGAAAAAATAGACCAAGAAATATTTATCTTATGGTCAACAAGCCGTGTGACAAGAGTGTGCGAAGCCCAGAGCCACGCATGCCTAGCAGCAGAGAGCTGAGCTCTGGGGAGCAGTGGGGTCTTGTCGAGCAGGAGGCACGTGCAGCGATGGATGGGTTCCACGGCAGGGCTGGCTCACAGCATATCAGGTGTGTTCAGACCACCCCACCACCTCCTGATGTATGGGGGTTTCTTTTCCTTTTCCTCTCTTGAATTTCATCCAGTGTTCAAACAACTCCCTACCCCTGGAGAGCTGAGGGTGCTAGGAAGTTCATGCTAGGGAGCCCCAATGTGTTACAGGGCAGGTTTCTCCTCAGGATCTCCTGGAAATGCTGAGAGGGAAGGCACTTTCTGGGGAACTCACCTAAGTCCCCTAAACAGATTCTGTATTACAGTATTCTGCAAATGGTCAATAAAAGATACCTCTGCTAACTGGTGCCGCTGGGTTAATTCCTTCCTTAGGAGGGCTGTGCTCCAGGTCCCTATAGGCTGACAAGAGAAATTGCTAGTGTCACCAGTGCCTGCTTGGAAGAGATTTAAAGCAGGAGTGAGGGATGCTGATGCAGGTCAGGGCAGCATGCAGCCGTGAAGGACAGTGCAGATCCAGATTTAAGAGCAGAGACCTCAGCGACTCCTGCAACGGTCGATCAATGGCAAGGAGTCAAAGGCAGTTGAGCAGGCAGGTCCCCCTCCCCTGCTAGGACCAGCACTGAACACAGAAATAAATCGCTGCAGCCTGAACCTGCTGCTACCGCAGCACTTCCCAGGGTCTTTATTGAGAGCCAGGTTTCAGAGGCACGATGCATTTGCTGCTAAACAACGCAGGAACTCAGAGCCCTTCCTGATAGCTGTCTGCTGTGCTGCAAATCAACACGCCCTGGCTTGGAAACACCACAAGTGAATAGCAAGACCAGGACCAAAATACAGCTTTTCAGCCCCTCTGTCCCTTCATTTAATCTCATCTGCCACAGCTGCCTCATCTTTTTCCAGCTCTATGATGACCTAGTGCCAATGGAGACCAGTTGCAGACCAGCCGTAGAACTGGGAGGAGGCAACAGTGCCCACCTTTGTGCCCACCACTAAAGCAGAGGTGCAGCAAGAGATAGAGAATGCAGACAGGCCGTCTTAGGACACTTCATGCCCTGCTGGGTGTGAGGTTAAATCACTGTGTTGTGTCTGGGCTCTGCCACAGCAAGCTGTGTGGACAGACCATAAGGATGCTTCCCTAAAAGCACCCTTCCTGCCCAGCTCTCTACACCTTAACCCCATCTGGGCTTAATTTATGGGGGAAGCTATGGGCAGAAGGACCTGTAGCCCTACCTACTCCCCACTCACTGGAGGGCATTTCCATACCAGTCCAGATCAGGGGGCTGTTTTGCACTTCAGTGTTCTCTGGCAGTGCAGTGCGTGGTGCTCCGCGAAGTATCTCGACCATGAACTGCTCTATGATCACCCATCCAGAGTTCAAGACCCTTCTCAACCTCCCCTGGTTATTTCTTGTTCTCTTCCCTAAAACAAGATCTGAGGGGTCATAGACATCAGCATTTCCATCCTAACACGTCTAGGGGATGTATCCAGTCCTTGTCCAAGCAGAGGAAGGAGGTGGCCTTTCTTGATGGCAATGCCTCTGAACAGGGTGCAGCCAAAATGACTTTCATTGCAGCCACCCTGTGCTGGCACCTGATAATTGGAGCAAATTAAAGCCTGCTGGGACAGTGCTAGTTTAGGCAAGATCCAGACTAGTCACCCCAAAATCCTCCAAGGGTTAGGAGGAGCACGAAGGTGAGGTTGCATCACCTTTTCCCTGCACCTGCACTGAGCTCACGCTGGCAGTTCCCAAAATCTTGTTCACAGTATCCTTTACCACCCAGGTGCCCATTGTGCCTCTCAAGCTTTGCAGCCCAAACACAAGCCTGGTAGGATGGGCAAGTACTTTTGCTCTCTTCTGAATCTATGAAATCTTGAAGGGATGGTGCCACACGGGAGAGAGCCACCCTGCTTGGCATGCAGGCATAGGGCTGCTCAGCTAAAGGCAGAGCTGACACAAAATTGGAAGTGCCCCAAAGCCAGCCTTTCCTACATTTAACAAGTGTGACAAATGAGTTACCATCATCCCTTCCCCTGATGGACCATCTTTACCTGCAAGGAAAATGGATGCTGTGTAAATGAACCAGGGGGAATATTGAACTGACTCTGCAGCATTTTTGCATGCATAAACCATCAGGGATGGAGAGGGTGGGCTATTATTAGTAACAATCACATTTATTACTTGTTGCACACATTATAGGAGGTGTGAATGCTGAAATTGCTGTGTTGTAGCAGGTCAGAGGCACACCCAAACCTGCCTTGGACACAAGGAGGGTAGCAGAGGAGCATGCAGTAACCCCTCGGCTGGAGGATGGGATGATTTGATTCCAGGCAGCTGCTCAGCTTCACCACAGCCCTCACCTCAGCTCCACCTGCAGCTCTGGGCCAGGAACAGCAAAGCCCCTGTGCTCTCCCCTCCTCTCCCTTTCATTTTAATGGAGTCCCTCCAAACTCACGCAGTAGTAGGAAAGCACCCCCCAAATGGGGAAAAGGGAGGGGGGAAGATAGATTTCTAAATGTTCATTTAATCTTGCCATTGTCTGCTAACCCCAAATTAAGATGGCAAAACTGCACCTCCATATACTGTCAGGCAGGTACATCCCAGATTACACCGACCTTGCTTTTAAGCGAAAGGATGAACTTTAGTTCATTCTGAAGAAACAATGGAAAGAAAAGCAGCAGCTGGCTCTGACAGGTCCTGTGACTGCTTTGTGCTTTTTGATTTTTCTCTTTTTTTTTTTCTTTTTCCTTTTTAATTTTGCAAGAAGGTTCCGGAAGCTCAGGTTTTGCCAAGGCTGACACCCGATGCAGCAGAAGGCAGGCTTTCAAGGGTTGCTTCTCTGCCTTTTCACTTCTGCCACTCACGTCGCGCAACGCTTTCCAAATCACACCTTTTTTTGGCTGCGAAGCCGCAGCCTCTGTTGCACTCGACGGTGGGAAGGAAAACTGAGAGGAGGGGGTGGAAGAGAGGAACAGCCAAACGCTGCTTGAGAAGCATCTTTTGATGGGGAAGAACTGACGGTCACGTTGCCATATAGAGATTTAATTGTATTCCTTCAGGAAACTGAGCTTGACAGCTTGACGAGGATTTCAGTTGGCTTTTTCTTTAGGTAGAGGGGGAAAATGGAGAAGGGGGAAGTGATTGTTCCCTTTTAGTCGACATTATGAGATTGTGTCTAGAATACTGCTGCTGGTTTTGTGCCCCTGGTATAGAAAGGTGTTAGGGGTGGGCGAGGTGAAAGGCCACCGAGCTTGGTGAGGGGCACGCGTGCCTGGGGAGGAGATTGGGGTGGGAACGGGGCTCGTTCAGTCCGGCAAGGAAATAGCTTCGGGGTTCCTTCATGGCAGCGCCAGCACCTCGGCAAAGGTTACGGAGGGAAGGAAGGAGTCGGATGCCCGCTCCGAGCTTGAGCTGCCCTGCTGTGGGAGGCAGGCAGAGGGCCCCCTTACACCGCTCCAGCGCAGCTGGCAGCTCGTCGCCAAGCCGCCCGCCCATCTCCGCGGCCTCTGGGCGGACCAGGAGGCTTCGGGTCCCTTGCCGGGAGCGGTGGTCCATCCCCGCCCACCCCGAGCAGCAGGCACTCGCCCCTCGCCAAGCCCGACCGCAGAGGAGATGCGAGCCCCTACCCGGGGCAAGAGGCAGCGTGGGGTGAGGCTGGCTCCGGCGCCCTAAAGCCATCCAGAGGCAGGTGGGGGCAAGGTGACAGCTCTAGCCTCCTGCAGGGACGTGCCCCCTGTGCCAGCCGGGATGCGTGAGTCACGCAAGGGGCTGGCCCCGTTACACATTTACCCTCCACACTGGCAGGGAGAGGTGGCTGCGGGCCGGGCCTCGGCGTGCGGGAGAGCAAACCCGCTGCCGCGCAGCGCTCAGGGACGCCACCGAGCCAGTTCTCAGACAGCAGCACACGGAATCAGCACACGGGGGTGAGCCGGTTCGGTTCGGTCGGTAAATGCAGCCCCGCAGCTTTCCTAGTCTAGGGGCTGGTGGTAATGGCGAGCTGGAGTTAATTCAGGTAACAACCTTCCAGCCCAGCACCAGCATTCACCAGTTCCCACACAATGGGTGAGCTGCCGGGCTTGCAGGCAAAGCACGGTCAGTTAGGGCTGGAGCAGCCCTCAGCCTGGATACCCAAACTAACATTTAGAGATGCAAATGGCAACCTCTATCCTTCTGTGGGCCGTGTGAGCCACCAGCAAAATCCAACACTGAGATGTAGCCTCATAACCCTGATTCCCAGGCACTTCATGGAGCAGGAGGCAGTCACGCTGCCAGCAAGTGGCAGCTTTGGCCTCTTCCCAGCCATGTGTTGATGTCCTGGGTGACCTTACCAAAGTCCCTCTCCTCTATGTTTTCCCCTCAAAAACGGTCTCATCGGTTGTCAGAGGAGGAGCTGCGCTGCAGCCTTGCTCAGTGACACCAGGTCTTGGGCTTGCTTGGGACCTTGGCACCATGGGGGTCCTGCAAGTGGTGCAATTGCAGCAGTGCACAGATACAGTCAGTGGATACAGGGGAAGAGCAGGGCGCTGCTGGAGTTGCTTCTCCCCTACTCTCCATCCTTGCACACTGTCAGGACTGTACAGGATACGTGCCGCAGGTTGGGCAGAGAAGAGAGCCCGGCTCTGCAGGCAAACCACAGCGGTGCACAGCCCTGCCGGGGGGGAGGAAAGGGAGGCACAGATGGCAGCAGATGCTCTCATCAGTGGAAATGATTGAAGCAAAACACAAAACAAAAACAACAAAA